TGATGCCTCTCCCAACACGATCTAAGTCCTTAAAGTCAATATACCAAGTACTGCTTTAAGTTCTCTCCCAAGCAACTCAACTATGTGTCCCTTAGATAGATCTTCAAATGTTTTGCTACTGGGGAAAAAAAATCCAGGATTGTTCTTTTAAAATATGGTCAAAGGTCTCTGTCTAATATAGCACACTAAATACATGTTACTCACAGATATGTCTTGTTTCAAAAGCCCCTTACTTTAAGGAAATCAGAGAGAGAACATGGTTGAAGATAAGCCAATTTTAGTAGATCCAACATGCAGTAATATGAGAAAGCACTAGTTTATTCTGGAGAAATACTTATAACATAATAAATAGATTTGGAGATTACCGAGTGTGAAATTGCATGTAAAATTTAAAAAAAAAACTACCTTGATGTATTTGACTGGGAATGTCTGAGCAGCAAAGCCTGGGTGGAGGCATTTTAAGTACATCAACACTTCCCTCAGTAGCCTCTGGTTATGTGGAAACTGCTGTAATCTAAATGGTTAAAATGCTTACTACGTTTTCTATAGCCTGCTGTGGGAAGGGAGTCAAAAGTGCCATCTTGGGTCCTGGCCAGTGTTCCAAATGTCAGCCCACACACAGAAGGGTTGTGGGTTCGACTCCTGGTCAAGGCGCACACCTAGGTTGCAGGTTCAATCCCTGGCCCTGGTCAGGATGCATGCGGAAGGCAACCAATCGATGTGTCCCTCTCACATCCATGTTTCTTTCTCTCCCCCAACCCCCACTTTTTCACTCTATCTAAAATAAATAGAAAAAATATCCTCAAGTGAGGATTAACAACAACAAAAAAAGTGGCATCTTGGGAGTGAAATGATCTAAGATGTGCAAAAATATCCTCAAGTGAGGATTAACAACAAAAAAAGTGGCATCAAGGGCAGGCAGAAAAGATAATCTTGCTACAAAGAGAACAACAGTTCACACCAAGCAGGTCCCAGGACAAGTGTTAATTCCAGCCCTTTGCCCACCTGGCAAGACCTGAAGGTGGTCTAAATCTGAGGGACTAAGACTGAGGGGTGGAACTGGGCATAAGAAGTGAAGATGATTAGAACATAAGACCCTTCTGTGAAAAGGCGTATGAAACAAGGCAGGAAACACTGAAAACTAGGTACAGACTAGGGCAGTGATATTTGCAACCATAGTAAAATAAAGACTTATATTTTTGATATTTATTTTATATATTTAAATGTCATTTAACAAAGAAAAATCAACCAAAAAAATTAGTATTCTGGAGAAATACTTATAACATAATAAATAGATTTGGAGATTACCGAGTGTGAAATTGCATGTAAAATTTAAAAAAAAAACTACCTTGATGTATTTGACTGGGAATGTCTGAGCAGCAAAGCCTGGGTGGAGGCATTTTAAGTACATCAACACTTCCCTCAGTAGCCTCTGGTTATGTGGAAACTGCTGTAATCTAAATGGTTAAAATGCTTACTACGTTTTCTATAGCCTGCTGTGGGAAGGGAGTCAAAAGTGCCATCTTGGGTCCTGGCCAGTGTTCCAAATGTCAGCCCACACACAGAAGGGTTGTGGGTTCGACTCCTGGTCAAGGCGCACACCTAGGTTGCAGGTTCAATCCCTGGCCCTGGTCAGGATGCATGCGGAAGGCAACCAATCGATGTGTCCCTCTCACATCCATGTTTCTTTCTCTCCCCCAACCCCCACTTTTCCACTCTATCTAAAGTAAATAGAAAAAATATCCTCAAGTGAGGATTAACAACAAAAAAAGTGGCATCAAGGGCAGGCAGAAAAGATAATCTTGCTACAAAGAGAACAACAGTTCACACCAAGCAGGTCCCAGGACAAGTGTTAATTCCAGCCCTTTGCCCACCTGGCAAGACCTGAAGGTGGTCTAAATCTGAGGGACTAAGACTGAGGGGTGGAACCGGGCATAAGGAGTGAAGATGATTAGAACATAAGACCCTTCTATGAAAAGGCGTATGAAACAAGGCAGGAAAAACTGAAAACTAGGTATAGACTAGGGTCATGAGACTCGGGGTTGTTTTTTTTATGTGTGCGTTTTTTTTGGTCGGGGGCGGGTGGGTGGCCTAGGCCTGGAGAAGCCTGCAACCAGGGTATGTGACCTTGACCCAAATCGAACCTGGGACCCTTTGGTATGCAGGCCGATGCTCTATCGACTGAGCAAAACCAGCTAGAGTGAGAGTCAAGGTTGAAGATAGCTTGGCAAGCCTCTCAGCAAGATTCTCAGGGTCAGGCGGCAGAGCTTCCTTCAGGGAGTGGTATGACAGCAAAGTGGAACCATAAGCAGCAGACTGCAGCCCTGGAGGAAGAATTAGGGGGTTGGCCTCTGCTGATCTCCAGTTATTTCAGCCCTTGGGTCCAAGATGTGATAAAGCCTTCCAAAGCCTGCTTGCCAAGGTCTCAGAAACCCTTCATATTCTCCCAGAATCTCCTGGGTTCAAAGCCGAAAGGACCGATGACCCTGGAACGGGCGGGCTGCAACTGCTGAAGGGCCTCTGATTGTTCCAGGACCAGAAAAGAGCCCGGTGATAAAGCTCAGCTCCAAGCTGTTCTCTGGGCATTACTGGGTCTCTGAGAAATGTCTCCAGGAAGCAAGTCTTGACCTTGATTTTTGTACATTTCACTTCACTTGGGACAAGGCCAGTGTTGTCATTCTACATCTACATTTAAATAGTAAAACAAGGAACTAGGATGAGGGTGCCATTCCAGAAACTTGGCAAAGAACCCTCTCTTTCTCTAACTCATCTTCTCTGGAGAAAAAAAAAAGGGAAGGCAGAGAAAAGGAGAGAAATGAACTCTACTGATTTTAGCCTCTCCAAAGTGGGTCTTGAACTGCCCCTCCCCCAAAACAACTAGCATGCCAGCCCCATTACAAACCTTCCCTATAAAATCCATGATGTCTACTGAGATCATATGAACTTCAAAGATTTTCTTTAGAGACTCACCCTAAAGTACAAAGAATTGTGACTAGGGTTATCAGATAACTATATTCCTGACTTTTTAATTCAATTGGTGCCCTCAAAAAAAGACACTTATGAAAAAAAAATACTTTTAAGATAAGCAAGGAGAGGTGTGGCAATGTAAGTGGTGAAAAGAATACAGACACTCATATTCTTTGAACAAAGAAAACCAGTCAGGCAACATTTTCCCTTTTACCCAAGTGACATCTGAATAAGTGAAAGGCAAACTTCACACCCAGCCAGCAAGAGTGGTTCAATCAATCTCGGTGATAAATGGGGTCAAGGCTGTCATAGCCGGGTTAGCACAAGAGATCTGGGTTTCACCTTCATTTAATGATCATGGAATCTTCCCTTCCAGGTAAGTATTCACCTTCACTTAATAGTAACTTGCTTCATACGTCTTTATGCAATGTCTTCAGCAGGTCCAAGGAAAGTTATGTCTGCTGTTTCTGCCCCAACTTGATCAGAAACTCTAATGTTTTATAAATATACCAGAGGCCCGGTACATGAAATCTGTGCATGGAGGTGGGGGGTCCCCTTCAGCCCAGCCTGCACCCTCTCCAAACCAGGACCCCTCGGGGGATGTCCGACTGCCCGTTTAGGCCTGATCCCCGGGATCAGGCCTAAACCGGCAGTCGGACATCCCTCTCACAATCCTGGAATGCTGGCATCTAACTGCTCACCTGCTTGCCTGCCTGATCGCCCCTAACTGACCCCCCTCCCCCGTCTGCCTGATCACCTCTAACTGCCCCCCCTGCCGGCCTGGTCACCCCACACAGCCTGCTGTTCGTTTGGTCATCCCTCACCAACCCCCCTGATGGCCTGGTCACCCCATGCAGCCTGCTGTTTGGTCATTACTGTTACTGTGACAGTGTCCTGGATAATTTGCATATTCCTCTATTATTAGTATAGATTTTCTGGTCCTTTGAGGGGGACTTTAGAAGCGACTCTTCAAGAACTAACCTCTTTCTCATACTTGTCAATCTTTAATGTCTATAACCAACTAAATATGTCACTGTCAGAATCATTAGTATCGTATGACCAATTATTTACATTGTTCAGCATGATTTTTACAAAGAAACAGAGTTTATACAGAAATAGTATCCTCCATAATTCTAATAGTTCTTTGCACATTTCACATATTCATGTATTTGGTGACTAAATGAAGAATAAATTATGCATAAAGAAATGCATTTAATACTTTCTCAATAAAATCTAAACTAATTCTCATAATGTAGTTTCAAGATATATTTATCCTATTTAAATAATTTACAAAATGGGGCTTTTCTAATGATTATTTTGTATTTATGCAAAACAGTTAACAATTATTCTAGTAGGTTGCTCTTTCTAGATCAGAATGATAAATATTTAAAAACTAAAAATGAACCAACCCTTCTATGCACACTGGCAACCTCAAGTCATATTTCATTCCTATCCTCTTTAACCTGTATTGTACCAAAGTACTAAATCCCACCTGTTAGGTAAGACACTGCTGATATATTGGGTAAGTATGGTGTCAGGAGCAGAGATGTGACAGGGGTCCATGAGGTTGCAGGTGTGAGAGAACACAAGGGGCAATTTGTGCAATGGGAGTAGAAAGGGAATATCCTAAAGTTATATGCTGCTTTGTTTTTATTCCATAGGCATGTCATCTTCAATATTTTAAAGCAATGACTAGATGATATTGCCTATAGAAGCTAAACCAAGGTTTATACTTTTGAACAATTTTAATAAAAAACTTAATGAAGGAATACTCTGGAATTGCATGGGAATTATACTCAGAAAAGACAAAAACGCTAGGATATTGCCTGCCACCCACTCCCAATCTGTCCCAGATTGCCATTTTTACAAAGTATAATGGGAAAACCAAAGGAGAACCATCATCTGAATACCTCACTAAAAACAAAGTAAATCATTCACTTTTTGTTGCCCAACTTCCCTCATTTGTCTAGAGGTCAAAGCTCCACGGTGAGAGCCAAGTAGAGAGGTTTCCCCTTAATTATCTAAGTAATTACCTTAAATGTCTGCTTTGCTTTGGCTTTGGAGACATAGTAACAACCATGAAGACCCTACTGAAACAAGAAGATAGGAAGTTCATCAAATGCTCTCCATCTCCATTGCAGAAAGCACACGAACATTACCTGAAAATGCAAACTGGGATCTTTTGTGACAAGATTAAAGAAACCTTTTATTTTCTGAAGTTAAAATGAGAATGTCTACTTGTATATTTTTTTCACATCCCACAGTGAAGGGAAGTTTTATTGCCTAATAATCCACACTAAGTGATCACCGAAGCGCACATAATTTGAGGATTGTAGACTGTGCTGGCCACTGGCATTTTAAAACACAAATGCCAGGATTATCTGTTTTCTTGGGTCCTGTGGTTTCCTGTTCATTGCTCAGAACTCTTACTATAGAAACAAGAGATACATGAAAGGAAATAATTTTGCCTGGGAAACAGATGTCAAGTCCGTGCCTCATTTCCAAAAGAGATACCAGACTCTAGAAAATGTCTGATGAAGTCCTAGAAAAAAAAAAGGTAAGTAAATGAAGCCATTATTTTCAGTGTGAAACTTCCTACATTGGGGATATCCTGCCATCTTGTTTGGACTTCCCTAGTGCCCATCCAGATCACTGATGTTGGCCCCTTGCTTTTCTTAAGGCCTTAGCATTTTGTTTACTCTCTGAAAACTGTGTGACCCATCAGGCACTCTACCATGTCCTTCTGCTGTAATTAAAAATGTATTTAAGCAGCATTCTAATCTCACAATGGTCACACACTCACAAAGAGACGCCTATGTCATCTGAAAGGTAATTTGTTGAAAGGCCTTCAGTCAGAATTGAAGGACATATTCCAGATTCTCTAATTAAGCATTACGGTTCTCAAGTAAAGTCATCCTTGGGAGGCATTTTCCACCCTTAATACGATTAGATACTATTATGGCTATGATGTCTTTATCTAGTTAGTATATATACATGTGTTATCTGTCAGATCTATGGGTACTGAACATGAAGGAAGATCCTATTCAATCCTTGATGCCAAGGTGTCAATTAAATTCAGGTCTCTCTGGAATTCTTTCAGTGCACACTGGAGGGTTTCTTTTTGTTATAAGATGCTGAGTAAAAAAAAAAATGAGACAGATGAGATCTCCAAGGTTGGATATGAGAGACAGTCCTCACCTTGCTTCTGAGACCACTTCTAGTTCCTTGTCATATTGACTATAGATTGTTAGGGAAATGGAAGGAAGCAGAAAGATGTTTTGCAAACATCACTGTGGGAGAGGGATTTTGTGATATATGCATTGTACTCCCAAGTGCTTCCTGGTGCAAGGCTGAAGCCCACCTTAGCCTTACTCCTAGCAGGTGGGTGGGCAATTAAAAAATTCCTAGTGTTCTGTAGGCCATGGGAGTTTCCATAATTTTTCTACTAACCCATAATATCAAAAGACCATGAATATCAAAAATGAGTCCTGGACTGGGTAAAATTATTATGGATAACACATTGATGGGCGATGACAAATTAATGTGTTACAACTATTGAGGTGTTACAGTTTTGAAATGGGATTCTCAGAAACCTTATGCCTGATGCCAAAGTTAGAAGACAGATTTTAAGTCAGGCCTGCCCTTTCCCGGCTTTCAAATGATGCCTCAGAGACTATCCAATTATCTCTGCTCCACAACTTCTATGAGGCTGGATTTCAAAAAGATAAGACAAATGACTGTGTTCAGAGTGAAAGTTAGAGACTGTTAACCAAGGTGTCAGTTTCTGGGAAAATGAACAAATACAGTAAAACACTGGATGGATTGACTGGTTAAAAAAAAAAAAGGTGAGGGTGTGTGTGAGAGAAAACCCTTTACCTGGTGAGTTCTCAAATCATTATAAACTTTCCCATGGAGTTTATAGCCCCTTAAAATGTGTCTATAATGCAAACTAGATTAGAAAAGCTATGAGCTGGAGAGAGAGCATTTCTCCATAATAGCCAAGGAGTGTGCGAAGGACAAGGTGTGAAGGGTAGTGCAGGAGGATGGATGGAAAGTTGGCAAGTGTGTAAAAGAAATGGTGATGTAAAAAAAAAAGCTGCAATCAAGAGAAAAGTAATGCAGTGATTTCTTGTGGGGGTTCTTTCAGGGAAACAGCAAATAACTCTCCAAATAACTCACGGGGAATTTTTTCTTTTTTACTAACATCAGGATTTTCATTATAAAACAAATTGAGAATACATGTATATCCTAAGGCCAACATTAAACCCAAATTCCCTTATACTTTGTTCCTCCCCAAATCTACACAAAAATTTCCTCAGGATCTTAGTATGCTTCTAACAAGATGGCAGGAAATGGCACAAGGTATCCTAAAATAACACATGAACAAGCTTCAAATAAAAATGTGAACATTAATAGAATTGAAACATGCCATCCCAGTGAACTAAAATTTGCTGTGAACTGGTAAGGCTCCTGCAATGAAAGGCTGGGCATTAGGAAAAGGGGGCACCTTCTGAGTCCGGGACCAAGATTCCATGTTTTTACTGAGGAACTGAAATTCAAAATGAAAAGTATTAGAGAAGAAATGCAAAGCAAGGTCTAAAACGGCCAAGTCACGCAGAAGCTTAGCTCGGTGATATTACAAAAAAGATACCACTAAATAAATGAGTCCTATTTTATTCTAGTCCCTGTTGGAATGAAAAAATTTCTACCACGCTTGACTACATTCAGTACAAACTCAAGATGGCCACATTTGCAAAGTACATTTCTTAATAAATCTGGCTGCATCCTGTTTATGCAACTTAAGCCCATGAGAGGTTTAAATATAATTTATACTGACAGATATTTCACAGGTTTATTCTTTGGCTGCTGGAAGACTCATCAATAATTTAAGACCATGACACATTATGTATAATTGTTTCATTTCTTTCCCTTTTGCAAAAAGTCACTCACATTTTAATCATTAAAATTACTCACATTTGTGTCAGCATAGAACACATAAACCAAGAAATGTTCTTGTTAGGAAGACTACAAAAGGAAAGAAGAGAAAAGTCTTACAAACTTTACAAATTCACATGACTATGTAATGTCTACTTTGTAATGCAGGGCAAATGATCCTTAAATCAAAAACACAGTGAACAGCTAAGTGTTTCCATTTTTGTTAAGATTAAAAAAAAAAACTTCAAAGGGAAATTTCATTATGTGAAGTTGAAAATATATGAATTTCAATATATAGAAATTTATAATGTGATTTAACCCTCTATCAACCACATACTAGCTGGATTGCCTTGGGAAAGTTGTTAAATCTCTATTTAATCTGCAGTTGCCTCAATTCAATGAGATATGTAAATAAACAATCACACTGGTTCTTCTCAAAGAGTATTAAAGTAATGAAAATAAAATAAGATGATGAATAAGTGAATGTACTTTACAAATCATATAAAAGTAAGATATTCTGTACCACCATTCAGTACCAGGATAAAAACAGTTAAGAAACATTATTATTTAAAAATTACTTGACATCTATTTTTAGGGAACTTGCTTTTAAAAGCCTTAGTTTCTATGCCAAAGGTTTTCAGTTTGAACTTTGTCCTAAGTTCAATTTAGCCCCTTTCATAAACGTTTAAAAGCATACACAATTTCACCCCTTACCCCACCATAAGATGCTCAGAAACTCCTTTTATACATAATCAAATTTAATCTTAACTGCATAAAGCAAACTGAAAATAGAAATCTATTTGAGAATATTGCTTAGTTTCTTCATTCCCAGACTAAATTTTTGCTTTTCAAGTCTAGTCAGTATATATTGAAAAAGTTAATAAAGATGTTGTACACTGTGAAAATCATACTGGTTGGCTTTTCCCATGAAGGGGGGGGCGCGTGGGTGGCGGACAGGGTGGTTGTTATTGTTTTTTAATACTCTTTGTTTCCTGGGTACTTTCTTCTGACTCTCCAACAGGGATTGGCTATCAAATTTAACATTTTTCCAAAGCTCACAAGCAAAGGGATAAACAATTAAAAGCTGCACATTAAGTACGGGTCAATTATTAATGGATGCTGAAAGGTAGAAGAGCAATTCTCACAAGATGACCTGCCCAAAACCAGAAGTCTGAAAGGGAATGAAAGCATATACTGCAGTTAAAACCCTGGGCTCTGAAGTTAGGTATGCTGAATTAAAAAAAAAAAGATTTTGACTCTTATAGTTGTGTGGCATTTGAGAAATAATTAATTCCCTAATGCTTGGTTTCTTTATAGATAAAATGGAAATAATAATAGTGTCTATCTCAAAGAGTTGTGAGGGCTAAATAAAAGAATCCAAGGAAAGTCATTAGAAAAGCACCTGACACAAAGAAAACAGTGAATATTAAACAGTATGTGTAATGCAATGTAGAAAAAAATAAAAGGTTTATTATATATTTTATTTATTTATTTATTTATTTATTTATTTATTTATTTATTTATTTATTTCAGAGAGAAAGGGAGAGGGAGAGGGAG